AGAGAGAGAGAGAGAGAGAGAGAGAATTGGCTCGACGCTCGAACCGCTTTCTCCTCACTCGTCCTCCTCCTCCTCCTCCATCCCGGTCGCAGACCATCGCATCGCGCAGCCAGCGTCGGTCTCAACTCACCACACCTACTCATCGCCTCTATATCACCGCGACCACCACACCCATCCTCGGTCGCCTGCTTGCTTTCTTCTTCATCTGCAACTGCATCTGCAACTGCATCCACAGCTCCACCACCGCACTCTCCTCGCCTCGCAAGCCCCCTTTTCGATCGCGCTTCAGCAAGCATGCACTCGATCTGATTGTCTGCCTCGCTCGACATTGCCGCCCCATCATTCGTGCATCGTCTGCGCATCCTTGCGTCATTCCAAAGCGTGCGCGCTGCATTCGCCCCACCTCACGCCCACGCCCACGCCCACGCCAACGCCCACACTCCACCACCTTCATATCCAGCGGTGTTCATTGCGGCTCATATCCTGTCCATCCCACACAGACGCCTCACCTCCTCTGTCTCTTCATCTTCCAACAAATTTCCTCACCCGGACGCAGGCGTCCCTTTGCTATATCAATCCATCGCTACACATTTTGGCCCTCCGTGCCATCCCTCGGTCCTGCGCAATCGCATCCTTTCCCGACATGGACGCCTTCCCAGCAGACATCACTCCGCCGCCGACGCCCGGTCCGAGCTCGTTTGCTCCACCGTCTCCGCATGCACAAAGAGTCGCCAGGCAACCTCCAACTTCGCTCTCGCTTCGCATCCCACAAGACGGCCACTCCATTGGCCGCCTCACACAGCCCTCGCCGCTCTCCGCTCGCCCACCACTCTCGGCAAGCCATGCCTCTTCCAGCACGCTCGCGCCACCGCCCTTGTCCAGGCTGGCACGCAAGCGCCCCTCCAAGCTCACGCTCGCGCCGCCATCCTTGGCCGACGATCCAGGCCTCTCGTCGCGCTCCATGCCCACCTCCCCCGTGGTGCTCTCCCGCTCCAACTCCAAGTCCGAGCAGCAACACGACACCCCCGTCATAGCCCCCTCCGCCATCTCCGAAGCCGTCAAGCATCTCTCGAGCACCCTGCGTGGAACGCCGCGCCGAAGACCCAGCATGCCCTTCAAAGACACCTCGGCCCAGCGCTCCGCCTTTCCAGAACCTCCAAGCGCTTCCAGCTCGCGCACAAGGCCGCCAGAAGCCTTTCGCGATCCTTCCGAGCACATCCTCAGCGGCAAGGGCAGCACCCTCCAGCACGCTCGCTCCGTCTACTCGCACGGCCCCGTACAGATCCTCCCCGGCCTCTACCTCGGCGACGAGCACAACGCACGCGATCACCACACGCTCTCCGCCCTCGGCATCACCACCATCCTCAACGTCGCAAAGGAGACCACCCTGGATTTCAGCGCCGACGCCACCCGCGCACCACCCGCCCAGTGGTCGCGCCTGCCCGAACGCAGGGGCACAGTCGCAAACGGAGAACTTCCCTCGGCTCGCTCCCATCACGCCTCGCCGCAATCCTCTCAAGTGCCTCCCACTCCCGGCGCCTACTTTACACCCCCCACCACCGCCTCTCTGCCAGGCGCCAGGGATAACAACGACGCGCCCTCGCCTCGCACCGCCATCAGCCCCTCGGTGCTCCGCAACACCTCGTCCACGCCCAACCTGCTCACTCAGTTCCTCCATGACGAGCCCGCCTCTACATCCGGCCTGTCATCGCACCAGCACGTGGCGCCCGTCGACGCGTCGGCCGACCTGCGAACACTGACGGCGCAAGACGTGTTGGAATATCGCACGCTGCGTCGCTCCAGCGGCTCATCTTCCGACGATGCCTTTGACACGGCATCCTCCCCCTCGTCGTCGCGAGCACCAAGCACTTGCACGTCGGCAGCAACCGAACTCACGCCTCCTGCCCTCATGAGCATTCGCGCCAAGGGCGGCGATGCCGAATCCGAATCCCACGACGCCGCCTACGATTCCAGCGCATATTCCAGCCAGCAGGTGTCGCCCAGATACGCGTCCGACGAGGGCGAGCAGCCGTCTCCATCCGCCTGGGTCACGCACGTCGAGCTGCCTGCCAACGCCACGCTCACCAGGGTGGCGGTGGGCGCAGCAGACGGGCGCGCCGCCGAGGTACGCTACATCAAGCTGCCCTGGACGCACGACGAGACCGAACTGGCCTCGGGACACGGTGGATTCGCGCAGGGATGTGCGCTCATCGCCGAAGCGCTCGGCGTGGATGCTCGGTACTGGTACGCGGCCAAGATTCCGGAGGATGTGGATGCCTGCTCGGCGCTGCACGACGATGCCAGCCTGGCGCAGGTGCAGACGAGCCGCACGCCCGGACGCATCCTGGTGCACTGCCAGTGCGGAGTGAGCCGCAGCGCGACGCTCGTCATTGCCTTTGTCATGCAGGCCGCCGCCATGCGCTACGGATTCGAGGCCGCACGCAGCCTGCTGGGCATGCACGACTGCTACAACATGGTCAAGGACAAGTCGTCGAGCATCTCGCCCAACATCTCGCTCATCTACCAGCTCGTCGAGTGGGAGCGCTACCTCTCCAGCGCCGCCGGTCGGCTGCGCGACGTGCTCGGCATGGCACACGTGCGCACCCACGGCGAGGCGGGTGAGACTATGGATGCGGGGCATTCGACGAGCCTGGCGGGTGCAGGATGGTGCACCGAGACCATGGACGAGGCCATGTGGAGCAAGATGCGGCTGGAAGAGGAGGAGAAGGAGGCGGCGGAAGAGGCGCGGCGGCGCCAAGAGCGGCTCAACGAAGCGGTGCGTCTGGCGGCAGAGAGAAAGGCGGCGCAGGATCGGCTCGAAGGACTCAGGCCCGACGCGGCGGCGGTGAGCACGGATGCGGCAGCCGGATCGCTCATGCAGCGGAGACGCAAGAAGGCGGCTCCGGCACTGCAGCTCCAGACGGCCGGGGCGGCGGCGACAGTGAGCAATGTTGCGCCGGCAGCAGCAGCGCCGTTGCCGAGTCCAGGGATGCAGCGACGCCGACCGCCTGCGCTGCAGCTGGGGGGTGCGTCGCGCAACGGCGCCTCGGAGCGCGGTGCGGTGGAGACGCCGTTCCAGACGGCGAGGACGGAGGCTTGGACGCGCAGCGAGCACGATGGCGACGGCGACGTGATGATGGACGAGCTCGATGCGCCGCAGACGCCGCTGCGATCGTGGGCGATGGACTCGGACGTGGTGTCCACGCCCACGGCGCGAACAGCCTGCGGGCCGTGTGAGGGCGGGGCGGATGCATGGACGCTGCGCACACCCAGCGCACGCACCCACGCCTCCTCTGCGCTGGGTGGTGGAGCACGGCTGGATCGGGCCCGGCCGTCTTCGACGTCGCACGTGTCGTTGGGAGGCGAGGGGCTGGTGCCGAATTCGCTGCCTGCAGCGATGGAGACGTCGCTGTCGCTCGGTTCGCGCGGGGTGGAGACTCCGGGTCACGCGGGGCGGGCACGGGCACGACCGGACTCGATGCAGAGTGCGCTGTCGAGCACGGCATCGAGCACGGCGCTGTTTGGCGTGACGGCGCTGACGCGCGAAGAACGCAAGAAGCAGCACCGGCGCACGTTTTCTTCCGACTGGCCTACGCTGCAGGCCAATCTGGCGAGTCAGAAGCGGCGCAGCAAGATCGAGCCGGGTCCTACGGAAGCGATGGACGTTTGAAATTCAATGGCCACGTGAGCAACGTGAGTGCATGCCATTCTACATTGGTCTTTTTGCGCTGCAGTCCATGCGAGTGTGTGTGTGGGGGGGAGGGGGGATGGGGAGCATGATTGGGAAGGGCGAGATGAGGGTCTGGGGTTGAATGCGGGGGGGTTAATCGACTCGGGGTTGGGATTGGCGGATGTTTCCGTCTGATCGGGATAGAAGGGGTGTTCAAAATTTGAGGTACGCGAGATGGGGGGTTGCTGGCACATGACCTTGAATGTTTTTTTTGGCGTGGTCATGTGGAGTGGGGGACGAATGAGGATGGGGCTATGCGAGGGGGGGGAATTGGGATTGGCCGACCCCGGTTGTGTGCGAAGCTCGGCTGGAAGTGGTTGCCAAGACCTGAAAAAACTTTTTTGTGAACGGTGCAATACTCCGACGCTTGTCTCGCTTGGGCCCCACGTCCTATGCGACTCTTTTGACCGGGTTACGATAAGCTCAAAGCTAAAGTCTATTCCAAAGCATTCAAAGCATTCATACTAACGTGAAATGCCGTGGTGGAGTGAAGGTGTTGGAGAGAGGGAATGGTCGGAGGGATCGGCGAAAAGGTGGCGGGAAAAGATGTTGCAAACGGCGGTTTGCGGGTCGGAGGGATTCGAGTAACCGCTACAACCGAACGCCTCGCCGTCACTCGTCTAGTGCCGAACAGTAAGCGGCGGTGTGGAAAAAGGAAAAAAGTCTTGGCAAAAGAAAAAATCCTCCTCCTCCCGCCTGTCAAAATTGCAAAAACGGAGGATTTTCGCCCCCCGTCGGTCAGTTTATCGGCCCAACACCAAGAGCGGCGCTCTCGGGTTGCACCAGAAAGCCACTGATGCACTACTCTCAACCTCGCTTGTGGCAGCGCACAGCTGACTGGCTGCATGCCTTATCACCAGCTGCATCCAGTTACAGCTGCAACAAGGCTTGGCCCCACCTCGCCTCGTACGCAGCAATCCGCGCCTCGTGGGCGAAAAAGAAAACCCCATTGCGCCGCATGAAGGATAGAGATAGTGGCAACACGAGACCCCACCACCAAAGAAGACAGCCCCAATGAACGATCGCACGCAATCCTACTGTGGGTAAAGCTGGACACCTGCACCTCGGTTGGGCACACGCGACAGACGCACGCCCAATCAGCAAGCGTACAATCACCCTCGTCCCTCTTCTCCCAGTGCAGAGTGAATAAAAGAGTCTGTCCCCCAGCACACCTCTTCCCTTCCGACCTCTGCCAACACCGCCACTACAACCACCGACCCATACCACGGAAGCAACGGCCCCCGACTCCCCCCC